TGGGTTGCAACAACGCTAGGCTGATCCGGGACAGGTTGACTTGATTCAAGGATGGGAATAGAATTGATCTTACAGAAGCCTTCGAGAAACTTAAAAACCCTCTGTGTTCCCCTTCTATAATGGCATACCCCAATGTTTCTGACCATACGGGTCCTTCCTTCTCAGATATATATACTAGTGACAGTGGTATTGAGGCCGTCCTTGGCAAAGACACAGGTAGATTGGTAGCCTATGCAAGTCTTGCACTCAACAAGAGCAAAAGAAATACTGGATGGAGGATCAAAGAAATTCGTCAATTCAATTGAACCTCAGCCATTTCGCCCTAAACTATCAACTTGTTTGTCTATGCTGAATGAATTACATTTCGAGGAATTGGATTTCAAGGCAGAGGAGAGTGGTTGTTGCATTGTTGCATGGGTGTGTATCCTTTTATTCATTTTATACTATCGGTAATAAATGCATCCTTGAATAGCCGTAACTACAAAAGTCTCCACTCATTAGTTGGGACGGCGTTAAAACCAGTCTGGCCACTTGCCCAGATGGGTTAGACTGGAGAGTCAGCAGGCTTTACGTCCAAAATGCTTATCTAGCAGGACAGATGGCCACATGACAGTCATAAGTGTTGTTTCTAGTTGGAGTCAACTGGAAAACGAACTCCGAGTCTTTCCAGCAGCGTCCATATCTTCCAATACTGACGGACCATCAAGTCCTTAGCTGGCCACACAAATTCAAAGAAGCTGGGGGTAGGATTGTGAGATGGCAGGAAAACTCAGCAGAGTTCTATTTCTGGCGCAAATAGAGACCCTGGAAAAACCATGGAAATGCAGATGGCAGTCAGGAAAACCTCTTGAGTATTACTATAACTGCCTGACAAATAGCGAAGCACAAGTTTTCATCCTTCAGATTGAGTCACATTTTTCGTTTGGCCAGCTCAAACTTCAGTCTTATGCCCCTGAATTTGCTCTGGTCTATTAATGTGTTCAAAGCGACGGCGAACCACTGAGAGAACAGAAAATAAAGAAGTTTAGAGGCTGACGGTATTGACGTTCGCGAATTAATAATAATAATAATATATTTCCATTTTGCACATGAGGGACACCGGTTTACAGGCATCATCAATATGATAAAGTATATTTACGATTAGTAAACAAATTAATTAATAATGTTCAAAAGAATGGATACTAAACAAAGAGTACTCTTTTCGATAAATTCATCATCATGCTCTACATTTATACATACATTATAGTGAATGAATGAATTAGTGTCATGAATGACAATAATGTTTGAATAACATCAAATCAGTAATATTGATAGATTACAGCTGGATTGCATCAAAATAAAATAAGCTGAATGTCAGAAACATTAGGAAAGATAATAGTACACATTTATGAGTTTATAGCTTCTACTAAAGGCCAGGGTTATAGTAGGGGCTGGACTTGCTTCTTTTGGACACAGAGTGCTGGTTGTCGCAATAGCCTCTGCTGTTTGGAGCCTGCGGTGCTTCGATGTTTTTGGTAATTTATTTGGCACCCGGTACAATATGGAGAAGGATTCATCTACGCTAGCTTTGTGGCCTGTTTGCACCAGATGTTCCAATATCGAACTGTTAATAGTTTTCACCACACCCTTACTTAGCCATGCTGGGAGATGTTCTCGAGCGCGAAAAATCAAGTTCCTAGAGCAATGGCTTATATAACTGGCTCCACAAGCGCAGTTGAATTGATAGATACAGTTAGAAGTGGCTAGTCTAGGTACTTCATCTTTCAGTCGAGGAATCACAATCAGTCGTGTGGAAAATGAGACGTGTAGTTCGCCAGCAGTAAAAGTTCTTTGAATTGACTTTCTTAATCTCTTCACAACTATCTCGCTTGGTATATCGCTCATGAATTGTAGTCGTATATAAAGAGGCTTCATTTTTTACAGATAGTGCGTGCTCCTTTTCCGTTTTCTATGTCATGTGTTTCTTGATAAATTTTTCGGGATAGCCATTTTCGATCAAAGTATCATATACAATGCTTAATTCATCTTCAATTACTTCTTCTGAACATATAGCTCTAACTCTGTGGCTGAGGGTCTTCACTAAATTTCTTTTGTACTTGATAGGAACGAAGCTGTGAAAATGTGCATATTATCCTGTCCAAGTGCTTTTTTCTATGCAAATTTCCTTTTATGCTACCATCTTGTTTTCTTGTAAGTAGGACATCCAAGAAGGCAATTCTGTCTTGGGATTCCTCTTGGCATGTGAATTTCATAGCCGAATGTACTTCATTGAATTCAGTGATTATTGTACTCTTATCAGAACCATTATCCCAAAGAATAAAGGTATCATCCACAAATCGGCAATAAAATGAGAACTTACTGATAAGGTTGTTCAGAGGTCCATTTTCTAGCTTACTTAGAAAGAAATCAGCCAGAATGGGACCCAATGGGGAGCCCATCGCCACCCCGTTCACTCGTCTGTAAAGCATGCCGTTAAATTTGAAATTTACATTCATGGTACACCTTAATATCAATTCTTTTAGGATCTCAGTATGTACGCCAATGTTTATCGACAGCTTGTCCACTTGTTCGCCTATGTAATTAACTGTTTCTATTAAAGGTACATTTGTGAATAATGATGTTATGCCCAGAGATATCATGGGTTTGTCCTTGATGTTAATATCTTTTATTTTGTCTACGAATTCAAATACATCTTTGACGCTATATTTCACTATCTTCTCATGCAAAGGTTTGAGAATATTTACTAACCATCTAGCTAGAGCATGGTAGGGCGAATTTCGCATATCAAGTATTCGTCTTAATAGTACCCATGGTTTATGCACTTTAGGCAGACCATACAATCTTGGCGTATACGTGCCTGTTGGTCTGATTTCTTCATATAAACTTTCAGAAAATATCTGCTCTTCCTTTAGCTCCTTCAAAAGTCTGGTTCATTCATTCTCTATTTTGTTATTGAAATCTTTCTTCTCCTCAAGTTTTTGAAACTTCTGTGAGTCCTTTATATATATCATTCATTATATTATATCATTCATCTTTATAATATAGTCACTCCTACCAAGGAGGACTACTCCTGATCCTTTATCCGGCTTTGTGATTATCAGTCACTCATCATTGATCAGTTTTTCAGTTCTTCTCTGTGCTCCTTTGTTAACAAATGTTTACTGACGCAAGGACAAACCCATGATATCTCTGGGCATAACATCATTATTCACAAATGTACCTTTAATAGAAACAGTTAATTACATAGGCGAACAAGTGGACAAGCTGTCGATAAACATTGGCGTACATACTGAGATCCTAAAAGAATTGATATTAAGGTGTACCATGAATGTAAATTTCAAATTTAACGGCATGCTTTACAGACGAGTGAACGGGGTGGCGATGGGCTCCCCATTGGGTCCCATTCTGGCTGATTTCTTTCTAAGTAAGCTAGAAAATGGACCTCTGAACAACCTTATCAGTCAATCATCGTTGGTGTTGTCGTCCATAATGACAGAGACGTCCATGAACTCATGTGTCTTATGCTATGACTATGCTAGTAACGGTGCATTTGAAAAGACGAAAGATATTGGTCAGCTTAATGAGGATAGTCCAAATGTGTACGAGAACGCAATTATAGCATCTGTAAAATAGCTTTCTTATTACCCAATTTGGATATAAATCAAAAATAAGATTCGGATTTGTACACACCTAAGTTATATTGTGGAATTACTTCAAGCTTTATTTTTTCCCAAGTATTTTTAATCCATCCAAAACATACTTGGGTTTTTTTGTTAATGCGAAGTTAATATTCCTATATTTCATGATGTGCTCCATTGAATGACTGGTTATCATATTGTTCCCACAGACCTAAGACAAAAACGCCAGCAACCATGTAACTTAACCATAAACCAAATTTATGAAATTTATATAATGCTTATCCATGCCTGTATATTTGGTGTGTCCTACACAAGTAGGAAAAAATGTGTATTTTATTAAAACATTATTATTAATTATGATTGCTAATCGTATATGTAATTTATCATATTGATGATGCCTGTAAACTGGCGTCTCTCATGTACAAAATGAGAATATATTATTATTATTCACACTGACGGTCTCACAAGGATGCATAGCTTCTACCATCGCATCTGGTCTTTATTCCACTTTACTTTCAAGTTGTACAGAACCTTCATTCAGCTCAGTAGTGGTAGTGGTAGTAGGCATTCCGCTCATCTCATCATGATCAGCCAAAGACAAATTTGCACTGTCATGACCATTATCACAAATATTCACCTTACTGTCGCCTATCCGCTCATCATCATTTTCAAACTCTTTTATAACAGCAGTAGATGATCTGGGTTCTTCCTCACAAATCCTCAAAGGTTCTATACCTTTACTGTGACAAGTAATACCTTGTAAATTTGTGGAGTCAGAACTGGACTCTAAAACTGTAACTCTCTTCTCCTGCACAAATTGTAGTGGCGTCTGTGACACTCTATTTAACAATGGCTTACCAGTTGCAACTACAGGCTCCTTCAATGCACCATTATCGCCATACAAATTGGAGTCAGAACATGATGACGCTGACTTCACATCTAGCTTACCACTAAACTTGCTCACTGATTCACAGTTCGCTTTTGTATGCACTTCTTGCAAACGTGTAAAACACAGCCGTGTTTGTCTCGCAACTTGTAACCTATCTGTTGGGGATGTCCCACGAAAGCTGTTACACTCACTAAGTTTATATGGATTACTAGACACCACAGAGTTTTCTCGATATCCACTTCGCTGAGACCCCTTCGTCATAAATGACTGCGTTTCGCTTTCTGACTTCTCTACTCTAGGGGTGGGATGCAATATACTGGCAAAGTTGCTCATAGCTTGATTGACACTATCTTCCACCAGTTTCGGAATATCATCGAACTTTGGCTCTAAACCTTTATCCTGTATACGAGAGGTTATCTTCACCCACTTCCTTTGCAGTCGAGTAGGTAGGCGTTTCGCTATTACCTCTAGGACGGAACTTGAGTTCAGATTGACCATGCAATTCATCGAAATCAATGCGTTTTTGTAAGTCATCAAATTATCCAGAAACTCAGTGAGTGCCATGGAGTAATTGACTACCATTACCTTTAACAGCCTCAAATACATTCCTTACAATCGTCGAAGGTCTTCCAACCCTTTGATGCATTATACTCAGAGCCTCATAATATCCTTCGTTTCGCTTCATAACCTTAAAGCACTGTATAGCTCTTGAAGCAACTCCAGTGCAGTACCTCATCAAATACATCAACTTCATTCCATCATTTAACAAAAAACCACTCAACATGATCTCAAACTCTTTGATAAACTGTGGATCGTCCGTTGGGTTTCCATCGAAACACCGAGGTTCATATATAGGCATTTTAAAATTCTCATTATCACTAGACGACGAACCATGATTAACAGACTCATCATGCTGAGCATAATACATATCATTACATGTAATAGACAACTCAGCGTTACTTACTTTCTTGCTTGCTTCCAAGACGCTTCGTCCCTTCCTTGACCAAAAATTCCAGAGAAGTTCCAGAAAATGCTTGTCCAATGAAGACTTGCAGGCACCAGGAAAGACGAACAGAAATCATTAATATCTATCAGAAACTGTCAGCCAACTCTCATTAACTGCCAATGTCCAAGTCTTACTACGCTGGACCTCACGCTGTCCCTGGAAGACTTTCAGAAACACCTCGTATTATCCAACGCGAAAACCAGAACACAGATTGTCGACTCGAGAATCCCTTATTCTTAAGCCAATACGTAACCAACAATAAGGTTATTACACGCAAGGTTTCTTATAGTTTTCGATCTTCCACTGAGCAGCGAACGATGAGACGATGACTGCTGGGTCGATGACTCCCGCGAAAAATATGGAGGAGTTGGGTTTGAGCGAATATCCATGAATTGATCGTTCAATCTTCAGCTACATTGACAGTGCTAATGATGGGCATTGTGATGTCAGCGAGAAGGAAAATCTACGGAATATGCTTGCGTAAACCTACGTTCAGATAAACGTATTTCCTACCAAGGTTTGCAATTGGTTTTCCATTTGAAGCCTTTAAGTTGTAGGTAAGTTCCTTCTGTCGGTCTGCTGCTGTAGCAGGAAGGATGCTGACTTAGGCGCCTGTGTCGGCTAAATATCGGGTCTGGCTGACCACATCACGAATGTAAAGTAGGCGGCTAGTGCCAGCGGTGACGGTTGACGATGACACGTGTCGGAGGGATAGTTTCCCACGGACTTTGAGACATTGCCGAAATTACAAAGTTTATGGCAACATTTCGCTTCCTGGCCATAGGTGCTGTGATACCAGCACCAGTCATGGTTTTCCAGTGAGCATGGCTTGGACCTAGATCGACCACGTGAGTTACGCCGTTGAGGGGAGTTCGGACGACGGTAGGAGGAATTGCAAGGCATGTTTGACCTAAGCATCCGCTGGGTGGAGTTGCACAACTCTATCACTGCAGTATCCTTACTCGAAGTCTGATTGGCAAGTGAGCATATTTTAGTATCAGGCCGTTTAGTTATTCTAGAATTTTATCTGCAGAGACAGCTAGTTCATCCATAAGAACACCCTGAAGTGTCACAAGTACAGTTTGTACGACTATGGCGGTTTGGATTAGAAGAGTTCTCTGAAAAGTCCTTCATCGAACTGACTTTGGCCAATAACCTCTCATCTTCTTGTTAGCATGCTCACGGCTGACTGATCCCCCAACTCAACGTTACGAAATAATTCGTCCAGACGCTGTCGATCCGTGAGAACGTTTCTTTTGAGGAGGGATGCTTTGAGCAACCCGTACCAGTTAGTTACCTCTGGACTCGACATCTGCACAGCTACGCACTTGCTGAATTCCCGCGGTAGGGCGTGAATAACTGCAAGGAGCTGTGAACGTTGATCGGTTATCCCATGATCACTAAAATCAGACTCAGCTATCTGAAACCATGTTTCGGCATTATCTGGGCAAAAGAGTACGAGCTGAATGGTCTTGGCAGTTGAGTGAATACGAATGACCTTGGGATTAGGATCACTCTTGACGAAATGTATGCTGATTACAATATAGTACAAGAACAAATACAAAAAGGAACGAACTCACCGGGTTTATCCGCGTATTTATCGAAGATGAATTCCGAGGTTGTGCCACCAGTTTAGAGGCTGACGGTATTGATGTTCGCAAATTGTACGGAGTATACTAACGCAAGATCTTATACCAACAACTTCCATAGTATTCGTTTCTCGTGGACCAAAGGCAAAGCAAAAGAACAGAATTGGTTGTCCAAATTACGAGATACATTTTGGGACGAAAACGAATTGCGAGATGATTGCTTAACTGGTTATTGATCTTGCACGAACGTGACACGACGGAGTACCAAATGGCATGGATGCTTGACCGGAAGCCTTCAGCTAAACAAGTCGACTTAAACAGTGAGGGTCAGCATCCAATGTTCAGTGGTCAATAATTTTGGGGACTTATTTACTGCTACAGAAGCTTGGATAGAAAACTCGATGTTGTTGTACTGTCTATGGCACAATTTAAAACCACAGCAATATGTTTTATTACTAACCTGAGTCTAAATACACTCACCGAGATGTGGTAATGTTGTTGTTACTGAAACAGATCAGGCAGGTTTAGGTGAAATGATGGAAGCTGCTAAAGGCTTTCTAGCTGGCCGCATCACAGGCTACATCGTACGTTTTTTGTAAATCCTATCAGATATGTCAAACTTTTGAGTATCCACATTATTAATAATAAAGCACCCTTAGAATATCTAATAACCAGCCGTCCAAATGACTTAATACAAGTGGATTTAGTTGGTGCTTTCCCAGTAACACCTAGAAATGATAGTTATACACCAGCCATGATAAAATTCTTCATCAAATGGCACGAGGCTATCGTTATTCCCCAATTTGATGGCGTAACCACTGCTGAATCAGATTTCAGTCTCTGGGTCAGACACTGGGCCACTCCACATCAGTTACCCTTAGACCAAGGGTCAAACTTTAGAAGTGAGGTTGTCAGCTAATTCTGTCGCAAACACACTAGGCGGGTATACAATGATATCATCCGAATACGTTAACAAATTTAAACGGTGCCTTTACAAGTTACAGCAGATGGCCAGGAATGCGCCCTAAACAAATCCTAGGCTTCAAAAAGAATATTGTGGTAGAAACGCATAGGGATCTCCTGAAGAAGTGGGAGACCAGGAAATGGTAACAAATTAAGTGCCACCTGGAAGAAGAGCTCTCAGATTCCATAAATGTTGGAAAAGAAAATCCATGGTGGTAAGGATACAGAGTGATTGAACATGCCGAATCCAGGAGTTCAATCACAATGGCAGCCTAGTAACATGTTTCAACAGACTGAAACCATTTCGACAGCAAGCATTTAGAGGCTGAGGGTGTTGACGCTCACGGATGGTACGAAGTATATCAACGCAATATCTGACACTCACAGCTTCTATGATATTCGTTCCGCGTAGACCGAAAGCATCAAAACACCGGAATAGATCAACCAAATTATGAACTATACTTCAGGACCAAATTGGAGAGAGATATGAGTGCTTAACTTGCTAGGGATAGTGCACGAACTAACGGCGAGCCAAATGGCGTGGATGCTTGATCGTAAGCCTTTGACTAAAGAAATCGACTTAAACATTAACTCTCAGCACCCAATGTTCACTGATGAATGCTATGGCCAATAATTCTGGGGAATTAACTATCTCTACAAGCTGCAGTTCAGAACAGATATGCAGATGCATTAACTTAACACTGCGGACGGTGCTCTTATACAGGAGGAAGTAGTGTAAGACAACTTAAGAAGAAACCTACAGGTGGTTTTCCTATGTTCATATTATGTTTGTCTGATTTCACGTCGGCTTTATGGTGTGTATGAATTCGTGTCCCAAGGATATGGGAAGGTTTGTTGCGTGCGTTATTTGACTAAACTTACGTACACGTATATTCTAGTACTTCTTCACTTTTATTAATGTGCATGGACGTTGTGGCTACTCGACGCCCACAACGTAAAACCAAAAGGCACTTGCGAAGAGTACGATCGTGTATTATAGCAGTAGTCAAATTTCTAAATTGTGTCAAGGTAGTGTTCAACGGTAAATTGACGAATGTTTGCGAATTACATATAAAATCGATCTGTGTATACATATAATACGAGTATACAAATTAGATTAAAAAGCATGTTTACAGTTGGTATAGGGGTACTACATAATTCCCCCCACCAGAACGCTGAAATACAGAAAAAATACATTTAAGTGTTCGAAAATAACATGCGTCAGCGTAATACATAGCAGCGATAGTACACAGAAGGCGATTTATTAAGCTGAAAAATGAGTAGCTTAAAGCGGTTAATAAAATTGATAATGAATGCGATAATCTGGGAAAATTTGTATTGCTAACCATAATAAAATATATAAGAAACGATAAAATCGGCCAATAATCTGTAGTTCGTTGACGAAAACGATACATGAATAATAAGCGAGATGTGATTAAATGTAATAATGTAGGAAATATCGATATTAAAATATTAGTGACATGATTTATGAAAATATTAATCAGTTAAATGAGTAATCAAATGGCAATTACGAATAAAGATAATAAAAATGAAAATTCGTAGCAAGTCATATTTTGATGTAACGTTTAGGCCAATGGACTCGCCTACCAGATAGTGTTGTTTTCACAGGGTTGTTTGGCAACGTTGAACCTTGCGTGGATGTATGTGTTGGCACGTCGTTGAGCTGGTCTTTATCGTTGACTTCGAAATCTTCGAGGAACGCTGGTTTGACTCTGTCGATACTGATGACTTCTGCTTTATTCAATCGTCCTATTTTGATAACTTCATCATTTCTTTTTAGAACTTTCAATGGACCATCATAAGCGGGTTGAAATGGTCGTTGTACACCCTCTCTCCTGACGAAGACGTGAGTGCAATCTGTCAGTTGTGACGGTATGTATGACACTTGTTCCTGCTGACGTGGAAGTGATATCTTGAGCTCGTTCATGTGCTGTGTTAACTGGTGCACGTAGCCAGTCATATCGTGAGGAACTTGGTTATCTCGGGTGAAAAATTCTCCTGGTAATCGTACCGTTGTTCCATAGACTAGTTCGGAAACGCAGCAGCCAATATCTTTCTTTATAGCATCTCGTATACCAAGTAGTACCAGTGGAAGTTTGGTTGACCAGTCGTTTTGAGTCAAAGAAGCAGCGAGCGCAGCTTTGAGTTGTCGATGAAATCGTTCGACCATACCGTTGGAACTAGGATGATACGCTGTCGTTCGTATTCGTTTAATGCCTAGTAATTCAGTTAGCTGGTCAAAAAGTCGGCTTTCAAACTTGGCACCTCCGTCTGTAGTGATAATTGATAGGACACCAAAGTTGGCTATCCAGTTTTCAACCAAAGCTTTAGCTACAGTTTCAGCGGAGACGTCGATTAGTGGAACTGCTACTGGCCAACGAGTAAATCTGTCAATGCAAGTTAGAATGTAGTTGAAACCATTGGAAGGAGGCAGTGGACCAACTATGTCTACATGTATATGGTCAAATCTAGAGTCGGGGTTAGGGAAGCGACCAAGTGCAGCATTGGTGTGCCGGTTGATTTTGACTCTTTGACAGGACAAGCAATTTCGTGCCCACTTCTTAACATCGCTGTTAATGTTTGGCCATACAAATCTTTCTTTTAGTAGTTTGATAGTAGCGCTCACACCAGGATGCGACAAGTTATGTAACTTCTCGAATACTGTATGTCTCATAGCTGTTGGAACGATGGGTCGATATTTACCCGTCGAGGTGTCGCAGATAACTTTTGTCGTGCCAAAAGGAATTGCCTCGAGGCTTAGGGATGTTGTTTTAAAAGATATGATCTTTTTGAGTTCGGTGTCATCTAGTTGTAAGTTTGAGAGATATTCGTAGTCGATGTCTGGGCATACAATGTTGTCAATGTGCATACGTGATAAAGCGTCTGTCACTTCATTGTTTTTACCCTTTACATGTCGCAGATTGGAGGTGAAATGGGATATAAACTCGAGATGTCGTAGTTCGCGCGGAGAGTAGTTATCCTAATTTGCTGATAAGACTTTCGTTAGAGCTTTGTGGTCTGTAAAGACAGTAAAAGGTGTACCTTGCAGCATATGTCGAAAGTGCTTGATTGCTAAGTAAACAGCTAATAATTCTCTACCAAAGGTGCTATAGCGACAGTGAGTAGGATTCAGTCGTTTCGAAAGGAATGCAAGGGGTTGCCATTCGCCATGTACCTGCTGTTGTAAAACTGCCCCAATGGCAACGTCTGAAGCGTCTGTCATAAGAGACAGGGGGCGTTTAACAGTTTCGAATGCTTTAACAGCTTCTGCGGGGAAATAGAATGAACGACTATGTCCACGTAAGCAGTCGGTTAACGGTTGCAAAACTCTAGCACAGTTCGGGATAAAACGCCGGAAAAAATTGACGAGACCCGAAAACCGCCGTAATTTCTTAAAAGAATCTGGTAATGGATAGTCTTTGATAGCTTGTACATCGTAGCGGACCGGTCTAATTCCTTGATTGTCAATCAAGTGACCGAGGAATTTCAGTGATTTCTTACCAAATTCACATTTATCTAAATTGATAGTCATGCCGTATTTGTGAAGTCTTCAAGACACCGTCTTCACATGTATCACATGATTGGTTTCGTCTGCACTTGCAATTAGTAAGTCGTCAATGTATGCGTAGACGAAGGGCAGGCCGCGGAGTACTTGGTCAATGAGACGTTGAAATGTCTGAGCGGCGTTCATCAGCCCGAAGGGCATGCGTACGAATTCGTGTAAGCCAAATGGCGCGGTGATGGCAGTTTTTAGAACGTCATTCGGGTGGATGGGAATATGATGGTACGCTCTGACAAGGTTGATTTTGGAGAAAATTTTAACCTCTGTCAAGTTGCTGGCGAAATCCTGGATATGTGGTATGGGGTATCGATCAGGTACCGTTTGCTTGATTAAGACCCGATAATCCCCACACGGCCGTATCTCACCAGAAGACGTTTTGGGTACCATGTGCAGCGGTGAAGACAAAGAGCTGTTGGATGGTTGAATAATGCCAAGCTCTAACATTTTATCGAACTCTATTTTTGCGATTTTAAGTCGATGTGGGTCAAGGCGTCGGAGACATGAAAAAACTGGTGGTCCATTGGTTTTAATGTGATGAATCACGTGATGCTCTAGTTATGTTCCTCGGAAAGAGGGTTATAGAAGGTCAGGGAACTGATTTACCAAGTCAGTATATGGAGATGCTGGTGTGCGTGTGACCATCAAATTCAACTATGATGCACGACTAATCGTACCAGCGATGCACGTTTTATTGAGCGAGTCTATTAGCTTAGAGCTTATTGGATCAACTAGGAGTTTGCGTTGCTGTAGAAAATCGATACTGAGGATTTGGGATGGGACGTCTGCAATGATGAAAGACCAGGTGTAGGTATTCTGCAGACCAAAGTCTAATGTCATTCATTTACTTCCATATCTAACAACATTGGACTTATTAACGGCTTGGAGCGTAACTGGAGGGTCAGGGTGTTGACGTTTCTGCGTAGACGGAGGGAGAACACTAACCTCTGCTCCTATGTCGACTAAGAATGTAGTACCGGTATTTCTATCTGTTACACAAAACAAGCGACTCCTAGATCGGAGATTGCCAACAGTAGAAGTTTTCATACATCACGATACATCTTTTGGTTTAGCCTGAAAGTTGCAAGGTGAACGACACCGTCGTGCATTGTTTCCGTAACTACGGTGGTACCAGTAAATATTATCGTGATGTCGTGACGTGCTAGGTGACTGAGAAAGACGTTGACGAGACGAGCTTCTAGAACGGCCTGGTGGTGTAGTCAGTGCTTCTAACTGACTCAGTATGGTGTCGACTTTGTGTTCTAGAGTCTGTATCCTGTCGTGAGTGTCTGGTATTCTGCTAGTGAAAGCAATAGATTGAGGTGTTGACCTTTCATGCATGCGAACCGCGATTTCGGCGAGCTTTTCTATGTCAATGTCGTCGTCTCCGAAAGCAAGGACTTGCTGAATGTTTGCATGATGTCGTCGCAGCCAGATTTGGTAAAAGAGACTTTTATCGATTTCTCTTCCGGCTACTAGGCTTTCCATATGCCTCATGAGCTGCGATGGGGTTTTATCACCTAGCTCTACATTGCTTAACAAACGATCGAGTGCTTGCCTATCTGAAAGCGAAGTGCATCGAAGTACCTCTTCCTCCAACTTCTAGTAAAGAGCGTCTGTGTTGGGTTGAACTACGTATTGTCGAACCTGTTCGGCGATTTCGTCTGGTAGTACTGTACTTAAAATGCCGAATTTAGCCGTCTGTGACGTGAGCTTATTGGCAGTGAAATAATGTTCCAGTCGTGCAAATCAAAGATGGGGGTCTCTGGGCTTAAAAACTGGTACAGTAAGAGAAAAAGTACTAACAGATCTCAGCTCTAAGTTATTAGAGGTATTGGAAGACATGTTACAATTCGTAGAAAAATGGTTTAAGAGTAACAAAATAGCAGAAATTATGCACACTAAGAATATGGCAAAACAGAAAAACATGCAATGCAGATGCTGACCACGGATTACTGCAGAATTTACTAGGAGAAAGCACAAGAATGAGTTCGAAATATCTATTATATGTACATAGATCTGATAAAGTTAGAGTTTTATTAATCCAGCAAGTGTAATGATGCGTCGTGAACAAGTTGTCGTCGGGCTCACCAATTTGTTGCGTGCGTTATTTGACTAAACTTACGTACACGTATATTCTAGTACTTCTTCACTTTTATTAATGTGCATGGACGTTGTGGCTACTCGACGCCCACAACGTAAAACCAAAAGGCACTTGCGAAGAGTACGATCGTGTATTATAGCAGTAGTCAAATTTCTAAATTGTGTCAAGGTAGTGTTCAACGGTAAATTGACGAATGTTTGCGAATTACATATAAAATCGATCTGTGTATACATATAATACGAGTATACAAATTAGATTAAAAAGCATGTTTACAGTTGGTATAGGGGTACTACAGGTTGACCAGTTGAAAAATTCACATCTCTAACGTGTTCGGAGCGACAGTTGTTACTGACATGCAGCACTTCTATGGTCACCCTGCTGTTTGATAAATTTCAGACAATTGGTAGAAGACTGGACCTACAACAAACACATCCTCTGGGTTCACAGTTCAACTGTACTAGCCAGTTCTTTCCAAGAAACTAAAACGAAATATTCTTAAAGCTAAGCTATCCAAAATCTAAATCTTTTCTGCCAAACAATTGCAATCTTTGATTATATATTGCTCATCGTAGCACACTAACTGATAATTCAGTCTTTTATTTTTTATCGGTACCTGTAAGTCACGTAGTGTGCTGATTAATTTGTTATTATCCCAACTGTTTTTTTATTTCAACCATTTCATCTTGCACTGCTTACTATAGGATCAGTTTGGAAGCTAATTTATTTCTTAACTACTCCCTATATTTCCAAAATTTTACTTTACGTAATCCACTTGTTTCATGTTTTCAAATATTTTTACCCTTTAAATTATGCACTAATTTTCTTAGTTAATTATCAGCCTTTCGACATACTGATATTGACTAATTACTTTTAACAGACTTATCAACACTAGATCGGTAAATTTTGTATTGAAATAACTATATAAATGTGAGTAGAGCCGTCGTAGATGAAGACCTAACTGAAAGATAAATATTTCTTCACTCGTTCCTTGTGTCTTCTCAAAGCCTAAGTGGGCATTATGGCTGTAGGTGAGAAATACACATTCAGACTGTATTTCACCGCGGATTGCATTGTGAACAGTACGTTGTAAGCTGGAACAAACGACAGACTGTATTCAAGCATTAATACCAAAGCTGTTAAAAGGACGTCTACACAGCATGTAACAGCTAAAAACAGTTTATAATTCTCACTACACCGATCGAAATGTTCACTTCATCGTAATTCCATCCCACCTGGCTAAGACCTGCTAGTAAACACTGTACTGAGAATAATGCAACTTGTAAATCTAAGTTATTTAAATCACTCAAAAAAGTGAGATTTAGCTCAAAGGACTAAGGAAAAATGAAAATTTACTGAACGCAAGATAATCTATCAGTTAGATGACAGAATAAGGTGACCATTATATCAGTAATGACAACTAAATCATAAAATGAACAAAGCTCATTGAATTAGCAACACCAAGTAATTACACAATATTAATTATTCTTGCATCAGAACATAATTTATTCGGTTTTCACAGATCAAACACACTCATTGTTACGGACTAAAAGCTTTACACTTTCAATGATAAGCACGTTAAGATAAAACCTTAAAATTGAAATCTTTATCTTCAGGCAGTTTTATTCCTATTATCCTCATTGTTAACCGAATTATTGCAGCAGTATGAGTCTTGCAAGGCACTGGAGAATTTTCGGCTTAGGAATTCACCATGTAATTTATTATAATTGGTATCATGATACGTTGGCTCTGACAGCATTTTGAACAATGTTTGTGTACGCAGACTAGCTGGTGTAATGTTGCATATCGTTCCCGTGAACTTATCTTGAGCACCAATTAATTTCTCACCAAAGCATACCGCCTTTTTAACCAAGTCACATCCTGGTTTTAGACTGCAGACTGAAGTATTTGACATCAATTGTTGTGGTGTAGTAGTCTTTGAAACAAATCCCAAATGACTAAGCGTTTTTTGTACATATAAATTTTCCTCTGTCCCTGTCCGCGTTGTGGAAGGGTGACGGGAATTCTGAAATAAAACAAATTCACCAAAGTATGGTGTTATGAGTTGGGTAAATATGCAACTATCCACCTACAACATCTTGAAATCCATACGTTAGAGTCATAATAATTTTTTTCAGTTAAAAGTAGCTCATTGTTGTACGTATTCATAGGCTTTACTTTCAACTAATATAATCAGTCCTAAAACAGGTTTAACTTCATAGTGCTAGTGGAGTCAGCCAAAGCTCTGTCTTCCAGATAATTCTCTTTGAGGTCAACCACACCTTTAGTGTACGGTTATTTCTCTCTGTCAAACCATTCGTTTATAGATGATATGACGTTGTTCTAATCTTCTTGATACCTAGAGGTTGAAGACGAGATATAAATTCTAAGCTTTCAAAACAACGTTTCTGAACTGCCAGTATAGTCTTTGATACACCGTGCTCTGCGATGATACGCCACATTCCTGTAGTAATCACAATTTTCGCACGTACATACCATTGTGTGCACTGTAGATGAACTCAGTATATTGTGGGTTTGTTTCCCTTTCACATTCCCCAGTGAAACATAGGGCTTCAAGCTAGTGGCTTGAAGTTTCTGTATCAGTGTTTAATTTTACAGGATGGGGTTGCTAGCCTTGTGCCCAACCTTTCCTCTTCACCAGCATTATTTCTGGCCTAGCGAGGTAAAGGAATGCGTCTGTGGCCGGGGATCGAACCCCGGACCATGTGCATGGTCGGCGAACGTCTTAACCGCTATGCCACCGACGCATATTGTGGGTTAGAAGGGAAAATTTATCTATCCAAATGTTTGTTCCTCTTTCACATGTAAGAAAAAGTCTTTTTTTTCTCCTAAAGGTAAGCTATTTTCAATCTTTATTTATTAACAGTTGGTCAGAATGAATTTCTGAACATGTTTGTTGTGTCATGTATACCTGTCTAAATCAATCTTTATTAACGATACAGAAATATATACTATGGTTTTGCTAAATGAGACTCTAAAATTCATTAGAAGCACCACGTAACAGCACTGTAGTTGTCCATTCAGAAAGCATCTAAATGAAATAAATCCTTGTCAGTCATTGCAATAACTTAATTCATTTATCAACAATAAAGAGATTATCATCGAGTTTACACTATCTTCCCGGTGAGTTGAATAAAACCTATCAACAGACTCTTAAGAAGTAATTTTAGGTGATATCTCTCCATCTGTATTCTCACTGCTAATTCTATCATAATTTGAAACGATAGATTTTATGTTGCACAAAGTATTGTAAGTGTTAATATTAGGGACGGAACCATTCATCATTCTTTTGCTTGATTAAAATATTTGCATAAAATTTGGAGGAAAATTATTTAACTCATCACAAGAGTAATCATCTGGCACCTTTTTTCATCGCCTTATTGGTCATTTAAACATTAGCTTCAGCATCAGACAAAGATGATGATAGTCTTAAATCATTTTCATAAAACTGATTCGTATTATGAGTCCAACCTTCACAACTAATGTTCTCATTACTTCCATTTACTTCAGAGAAATGACCAAGTTGTGACTTTGGCAGGCTTTCTGTACTATTTGCTTACAGTGAAACCGATTTTTTTTCCATGTCATTAGTAAAGCCAGAAATAATAAAAAAACTACGCATAAAGAAACTTCATTCTTGTGAGTAAACTAATTGAAACGCATTCTTTCCCACTTTGCTACTACCATATGAAGTAGTGATGCATAGTAGATACGATAAAAAGTGGTATCAAGGAAATTCGTTAATGCTCAGATTTTACAGTCAACAAATATCCAGTGCAATTTAATGATCATTCATTACTGTCTAAATAATTCAGTGTAAGGAGTTGTACAGTTTAGATATTTTTGATGTGGTTTTGTTCTCTGAGCTGGATGGTTAATTTGCGAAGCTTTCATCACCCTACTGGGTGACATCTTCAGCGCATACTTCAATTTGAAGTGAGATTTTAGATTTCTCCACAAGTTTATTAATCATCTCTCCTAGTGACCTTGGACGTGATTGGTTGTTTATGTGTGTTTCGACGGCCTTTAGTTCTTGAGCGTTGAGTTGTGTGGGTGTGTTGTTTTTTCTGTTTGACCATTGGTACAATTGTTTGGCGTATCTCTTCCTGTGTTTCCTCGTTCAAGTTTGATGATTTGAGTAATGATTCAAAAGCAGCGAAGAAATCAGTTTTCGAAGCATCTCCGGTGTTGTAGTTTAATCCTTTTTGTAGTAGTTGTTGTTCCATTTTTGATAGTGGTTGTTTTGATAGGTTGACTACGCAGTCTATAGGCGTATTGTCTGGTTGTTGTTTTCTAATCTTGGCTAGCTTAGTTTTGAGGACTCTTCGTCTTTGTTCTCTGTGTTTTCCACTTGACAGTGTGATTGCGTGATCAGCGTTGACAGGTATTCCTGGTTGAGGGTTTTCTCTAATTCTGCTTTTTAGATATCTATAATTTGTTGATATTTGTTGATCCGATAATGTGCGTCTGTAATCATTACTTTGACCATTCGTCTTCCACACTGTTCGGCCAATTTCCATCCCTTTGGGCAGTTGACTGGTGGTTTGTATCTTACACTGTTTGGTAGGATTTGATGACGAAGGCACTAATGGAGAAAGAATAATTGTTCTCTGGTGGATCCTTGCCTTTTGGCGAAGTCTTCCCACTTTCGAACAGAGAGAAGCGTATCCCGCTCGTAAGATTTAGATATGATAGAGAAGATTTGTAGCTAAGGTGGATGATTTTGATTTGGTTTTGTTCTCTGAGTTGGATGGTTAATTTGCGAAGCTTTCATCACCCTACTGGGTGACATCTTCAGCGCATACTTCAATTTGAAGTGAGATTTTAAACAATCTCACCAAAACTGAACAGATCACAAAACAAGACCAATGGCGAATGAAATCCAATGGACCAGTCCTACCTCGATTCTACGGCAGACCCGAAATACACAAGGCAAATATCCCGTTACGACCAGTTGTATCACTCCCAGGAACTCCAAAATATAATTTATCCAAAGAATTATACAGAAAACTAAAACACCTAACGGAATCTTGCAATCACTCCATCAACTCTGCTATCCAATTCCTAGAGAAAATCAGAGGCATCCAAATAGATGAACAAGAAATAATGGTATCCTTCGACGTGACAGCATTATATATCTCCATCGGACAAAAACTATCAAGAGAAACCATGAAGCAATTACTTAGCAACGACGAACAACTTCCACAACAATCAAAAATGCAACACTCAAGCTGGATGGAATGCATAAATCTATGCCTAACAACATACTTCCAATTCAACGGCCAAATATATGAACAAGTCAAAGGAACACCCATGGGATCGCCAATATCAGGTTTGATTGCAGAAGCAGTGATGCAAAAACTTGAAAACATGATTCTACCAAAGATCAAACCCAAGATTTGGACACTCTACGTCGACGATACATTTGTAATAATCAAAAGAAACGAGTTAAATAAAACTCACAACTTAATAAACAACGTCTTCAACGACATCAAATTCACAAGAGAAGAGGAACCCGAGAACAAAATACCATTTGTGGACGTCTTAGTCAAGCGAACAACCACAGGAGAGTTAGAAACTCAAGTTTATAGGAAACCAACTCACACAGACCAAATCCTAAATTACAACAGCAACAACCCAATAACACACAAAAGGAATTGCATACAAACACTATTCAAGAGAGCAAGGACTCATTGCAGCACTGCCACCTTAAGGAAAATTGAAGAAAAGTATCTCATGGACGTCTTCCAAAAGAATAGATATCCGCGGAATTTCATCAAAAAACATATACCTCCAAGCCAACCTACCAAAGCAAAAGCCACCAGGGAAAACACAAAGAAAATCGCCTTACCATACATAAAGGATATCTCAGAAATCACTACAAGACTCTTAAAACCTTTAGGAATTGACGTCGTACACAAACCAACAAAGTCGCTGCACTCAATCCTATGTCAACCAAAAGACTCCACAGCGAAAGAAGATAAAAACAACATCATCTACAAAATAAATTGTAACAACTGTGAAAAACACTACATTGACCAAAGTGGATGACGTCCCCTTCGTCTTCGTATCCACGAACATAAGTTAGCCGTCAAAAGACATGATATCCACTCCCTCATATCACTACACACAGACAACTACGGACATCAATTCGACTGGGACAACGTTCAAATATTAGACAGAGGAAACAACAAGAATGCTAGAGAATTTTTAGAAGCTTGGCATTCCAGTGAATCATCATTCAATAGACACACAGAGATAGACAAAATTTATCAACCAATAAGAAAGAAACTTCACACACAAAGGGTCAAAGTTCAAGTCCAAGAAACAACCGGTTACAATACAAGTAACCTAGATGGTGTGAAAACGCACACAAACAACCAATCACGTCCAAGGTCACCAGGAGAGATGATTAATAAACTTGTGTAGAAGTCTAAAATCTCACTTCAAATTGAAGTATGCGCTGAAGATGTCACCCAGTAGGGTGATGAAAGCTTCGCAAATTAACCATCCAGCCCAGAGAACAAAACCACATCAAAATCATCCAACTGAGCTACAAATCTTCACTATCATAATTTAGATATTTTTCACACTCTTCCATCGTATCCATCAAAGTTAAACGCAAAACGCGTATTTGGATATGTACCTTCAGATATTTTCAAATCATTTTTATTCCCTACTACGTGATCACATCCTTACTTTTTTCTCTGGCTCTAGGTATTTAGTAATTCAAACAAGTTACATCCTTTGTGTTATGAATTCTATGACGCTTACCTATGAACTCTGTAAGTCTTTATTAGTGATAGTACAAACACACTAATAAAAATAATTAATATGAGAGGGACATTTTCTCAAATACTGTTATTTTGCACCTACAATGATACTTTTACTGTCAAATTAGAAATAAATATGACAAATACCCAAAACAGCTCAAAATTACCTAAATAATACTTGAATTCCAGAAGTGAAACTGTAATCCCTACTTTATTCTACTTTGAATAGACTGCATTATTCTACTGAGCAAAAGGTGTTCATTCGGTACTTTAATGTAACAATTATTTTAAATTTTCATAATACTTGGCATTATAAGAGTAGACTAAATTTGTCCTCAGATTTTTTGATATAGTAAAACAATGCAGAAAGGCTCCACTAACTACATATTTCAAGAAATCTCTAGGAATGAAACTAAACTCACTTGTGTTGCCAATATATTTTTGGACGCTGTTTCAATCACAGACCATGCATAGTCAATATCTTCAACGCAGGCGTTTTCACGACAAACAGCGAATCGAACAAAATAAATATCTCTTGCCATTGAAGGAATAACATGAATTTCATGCTTTTCATTGATGGCATGGAAAAAGCACTGATTCAGTGTATTAGATCCCTTTTAACAAAAAAATCCATCCACAGTGAAAGAAAGAAATGAGCAATGCTAATTTAGCTATTCTATAAAACTGCTAAACCGAGTAGAACCCAAAACAGAAATACTGTGCCAGCAGAATATTCATATACCTGAGTAATTCTGCTGGAAAGGCTGCGGTTTACACAACTAAACGTTCAGAAAGATCTTGTCTTGATTTTCTTGACATACTGGTATTACTTTAAGTAATTTTGTAATTTATAACTCATATATCACACTTCAGCGTGCACGTCTTTTAGAAAATTGATGCTCCAACCAGTAGTCAGAACTTGGTGAAGGGGACAGGAACTTCCTAAACTTCGAAAAAATTTTTATGTTTTCATGTCATTCAAGATAACATTATGTATAATAGAAGGATTTGATTTGATTTAGTTGGAGTGGGAAAACTTCGTTATGTAGACAAAACAGTGATATAAAATAATCTAAATGAATGAGTATCGTCAAGAATGTGGCCAGCTGTAAAGTATCTTTACCAAATTGAAATAAGCCCCCTGTCTAATGCTTCCAGATCTTTGCTTATTTCCCTTCGATATTCATAGGTATAACAACTAAAGTAACTGTTGGTTCAATAACATAATAGGGTCCTTTCACACGACATAATAATAATAAAATAATTGCACAGTAGTGAACAGTCAGCTTCAACTGTCTCATAAACCTAAACCAGGACAGTGAGACGAATTTTCAGTAGATTGTTTTGATTTAAATGTTTCCATATGCCATTTAACCTATTAAAGGCTTGTTTCCAACTCGTCGCCACTTCGACCCGAGGGAATTGTTATGTACTAGTTTTCCCCGTCGCCAAATTGTTATGTACTCGTCGCTAGATTATTGTTATGGACTGGTCGAGAAACTAATAGTCCTGACGCGAGAAGGCGGAAATCAGAAGACCACTAGGTTTGCGATGATACTTCTATTGTCCAAACACAAGGAGACGAAAATAAATGGTCTCACACCAAAGTGGTAAGCAAGTCAAGTAGTTGTAAAGTAAAGTAGTTCACACAAATTGTGAATGCGAATATATATAAATAATTCAGACAAGCGTGGGAAAAATCATTAGACAGTCTTAACATGAATGGCTAATTATAATGGAGTGTCGATCCAATTATACATAGCGAATATAGCAGACATGCCAACAAACATATATGGATATATGTCACCAAGCAACGGACTGTCAACAAACACTCATATTATATATAATATAATATAAGGAGAATACACATTATTAAAGGAGACAAGTCCATACAAGTGAAGTGGTCACAGACTAACCGAGCAAACAGAAAGAGAGACCAACATGCACACACACACATAAATATATATATGTGGATACATATCACCTCCCCTTTTGAGAAGATGGATGATTAGTAGGATGTTTACCTGGGGGTTTATCTGGGACCTTTGGGCTTGTTGTTGACGCCTGTCGTTTCGTCTGATTGTTGGGTTTGCGGCTTCGGCTCCGTCCGGAATTGTCTAGCATTTTATGCTTCTTGACTGTATTGCGTAGAGAATTTAGTGGGACATCAGCCAGATGCAAACGATCGAACCAATCAAGTCCCAAAACATTTAAATCATTCTTCGTGACGTAACAAATTCCTGTGAATTTGGTATTGCGGAAGGAAACAGAACATTTGAGTTCACCAATTAGTTTGAGCCGCCCACCACAGGCGCTGAGAAGAGACTGGGAAGTATTGGTGATAGGTGGTCTGCCAATATAATTCCAAAGTTTCTCTGATATAACAGTAATATCAGAGGCGGTATCTAGCTGCAGACGTGCATCATGACCATTCATCTGAAGATCAAGATATTTCCGCATAGCTGGTGTTGTGACTTGACGGGTTGCGCGTAGACTCAATGACTTTTTGGGGGATTTAGGACCAACATTTTGTTGAGCTTTTGCTGGATTTTGATATCTGGGCTTGCGTGGCTGACAAAAACCATTTTTGTGACCGATGATCTTGCACTTGCTGCAACGATGATTTTTGTATGGACAAGACTTTACAAAGTGCCACGCGCCACAATGCCAGCATGGTGATGGAGGGGTCTTCTTTGTCGTATTTTGTGAAGTTGGACGAGTATGTGTAGATTTCCGCGGAACATTAGGAGAAGTAGGTGGGTCAGGAGTAGCTGATGAGAGATTTTTGCTCTTGCGTAATGCACGAATATCAGAGCTTCTCGGAGGTGTTGATTCGACCAAGTGTGTGTCTTTCTGCAGATTAATCAGCCGTTGATATTCATCAGCTATGTCATGTAATGTTAACTTGGGATTTTGTTCTAGCTGATTGAGCAGTCGAGTTCGGATATCTGTGAAACGAGGAGATTGGAGACTGCATATGAGAATCAAGGCTTTGAACTGATCATCTGTTAAGGACCTGAGTCGAAATCTCTCACATTCTCGGTTGACTGTGCCAACGTGAGTAAGAAAATCATCATTTTCATTCATTGCCAGCTTGAGGCAACGATAACGTATACTGAATAATGAGGAGTGGTCTCCGAAATGTTCACGCAGCAACTTTATTGTATCATCGAAACAATTGTCACGTGGTTTCTGTGGTAAAATTAGGTTGCAGTACCGTTCATATTCTGCCGGACCCAATTTACGTAGCAAAACTCGCACCTTCCAGGCATCGTCTTGTGAGGCGAGATCAACAGTGAATAAATCCTCATAACGTTGATACCATGTGTCAAAAGTGACATTAGCCTCTGGGTCATAATTGAACTGTGAAATGCTGTTCACAATTCCGTCGACAGATGGTAGCATGGTATGATTGGGATTGCTTGAAGGTGGAGCTGGACCAGTCTGTTGGTTGACGAACATTTCCATTAATTTCATTTGTCGTTCAAACAATAATTCCAATTTAATAGGATCCATAGTAAATTGTTATGTTGTTGCTGCTGTGTGGTTAATAGTAGTTTTTCCCCGTCGCCAAATTGTTATGTTCTAGTTCCCCGTCGCCAAATTGTTATGTACTAGTTTCCCCGTCGCCAAATTGTTATGTACTCGTCGCTAAATTATTGTTATGGACTGGTCGAGAAACTAATAGTCCTGACGCGAGAAGGCGGAAATCAGAAGACCACTAGGTTTGCGATGATACTTCTATTGTCCAAACACAAGGAGACGAAAATAAATGGTCTCACACCAAAGTGGTAAGCAAGTCAAGTAGTTGTAAAGTAAAGTAGTTCACACAAATTGTGAATGCGAATATATATAAATAATTCAGACAAGCGTGGGAAAAATCATTAGACAGTCTTAACATGAATGGCTAATTATAATGGAGTGTCGATCCAATTATACATAGCGAATATAGCAGACATGCCAACAAACATATATGGATATATGTCACCAAGCAACGGACTGTCAACAAACACTCATATTATATATAATATAATATAAGGAGAATACACATTATTAAAGGAGACAAGTTCATACAAGTGAAGTGGTCACAGACTAACCGAGCAAACAGAAAGAGAGACCAACATGCACACACACACATAAATATATATATGTGGATACATATCAGGAATCACCTCTGCTTCCTCTCATGCAAAACTTGTTCTAACATTCCAGTAGATTAAAGTTTAGGCAACAATCACTTATAACGTTAGCAGTAGGATATTCTTTAGCTAAATGCAAATCCACTGGTCAATAATCACTTATTTAATAATGTACTGAGTGCATAGTTTTGCAATGACGTCTGTATTCACATCAAAAGACCAAGTACATTACACTCAGACAATTTGAACCATGACCATTCAAATACAAACGAAAGCCAATTAAAGCAGCACATAGTGAAGTTCGTTGTGAATTCGAAGCGGAAAAAAGTTCACCTTGATATGATTATACATTATTCAAATATTGTAAAGTAATCGTTATGAGATGATGAATTAGCTCAACTGAGTCATACTGCCTTCTCTTGAGATTCAACGATGGACCCACTTTGGTTACATTCCAAATGTCGACTAGTTTAGAGAGAGATAGGAGAAACCCGTTTGGGCAAAAGTATCAAGAAATGATTTCTTATCTTACCTTTAACCTGAAACAAACGAGTCCCAATACTGGATCACCAATTATTTCAAAAGCATCATTACTCCTTACTTTGTCAGCGAAATGCCTTGCTAATTTGATATGCTAAAAGTTTAAAATATGAGTATTAATAAAGAATCCAAAGTTTACAATAATCAGAATGAGAAATGCAGTCATAACATTCATCTTTAAAATGTTTTTTTTATATAAACTCCAATAAAGTAATCTAAATTCAGAATAGATAGTACTGTAACAGCAGAAAGCAAGACACAAAAGCCAAGGTATATTTTTGTCAATCGATCAGACAGTTGTTTATAAATCTATACAGTTCTATATTCTTTAAACAATCACTGATCGTGTGATTTCAGTCTACATTAAACGACATGGAATAGAATGTTCAAATACACACATAATATTCTGTTACTAATGCAGTATTGAAAAGTATTCAGACGTTAACATCAACAAATACAATGATTCTTACTGTCAGAATAATATTCCGGTGGAACCCAATGTCTGTATCATACCACCACAGTACAATTAACTTTCATTGAAATTAGATTCGCAATTTTCTCCAAAATGGTCAACTAGTTACACATCGTTTGCTTTTACTTCAGTGCAATGATTTGAAGTTTTGGAGTGCTACATCCTAGCTTTGATACCAGGGCAGTTCATTAGTAAATTTGTCAAAGAAATACCTCATAGAATCAGTTCTCTATAATTCTTTTTCAAATAAATACAGCCTCTGAGGAAAACAAACCTTTATCACAGTTTCATAATCCAGCAGTTAAATTTCAGCGATTGTGTGATGATAAAATCCAAGAGGAACTCACTGCTTGCGTTTCATTGCATTAACCTAGTTCTTATCAGGAAACTTAATATCTAATAAAGTCATAAATTGTAATCACAAACAGTTCAGTACCCAACTCACTAATACTATTTCAGCATTAAACTTTGATAGTCAGCTGTGAATTAATCTCCCATGAAGTTACTTCGATTTCATTCATTTAATATTCACGGGTTATGTTTCATCGGGTTATGCGTAGCATAAATAAAAAAAGACTAAGAGAATAAACTAGTAAGGACATCCATTATTATGACATATACGACAAATGTGTTTTACTATAAGAAAAGATAATAATACATTATGGGTTTTTAATTATCAAAATTAAAGT